TGTCACCGACTAGTTACTGATGTATCCCCTCTACATTGTACTAAAATCTGATGAGAGTGAACATTCAGGCAAGACCTTTTTTGTACCTTTAAATAAATATATGCAGAGTACACAAAGAAAAATGTATAATATAACGACTCAAAAACTTAATACCAAGGTGGTGGAACTCTTTAGCCAAATACGTAATAACATATAAAATACAGAGGCATGAAAGATATTCGTATAAGGAAATGGTCAGAGTACCAGATAAAGATAAGTTAGCCTGTATTAGGTGTATGTGGGGTTTGGTGTATGATAGAAAACAGGAATTTTATCATTATAGAAAACCTGATTTTAGGGGAGGCTGCGACAAACCAAGGGAACATTTGATTAATTGTATGCAACAAACATAGTTAAACGGCTCCTGTTATATAAAATTTAGAGATTTTGTTTAAATAAGTAAGAAAAAAGTATTTATTCATTTTGGTAATAAAAGAGAAAACGGTTACCACAAGAAGGATTTTATGAAATACGTTTTTTCCCCCAGATGTTGTTTGGGTGATAGCAAGTATTAAAACGATCCAACTTTTTCCTTTAATTTAATTGTTTTCTATTTTTTTTTTCGTCTTCTTCCACTCTTCGATTCATAAATCACCTGTAGTGGGAAGTGCATGAAAGAAAATGAAAATTACATGGTAAGAAATACGACGAAAAACTGATCATAAGGCAGTAATGAAAAGTCTCTACGTGTTTTGTAGGCGTCAGCTCTCCTGTGGCGACCATCGTGCTGGACCGCTCTAAAGAATAAGGGAGTGAAACCGGTCTTGTCAACATGTACAAGAGACGATGAAGGATCATATCGGGGGCTTGTCATACCATAATAATTGATGGCTTGCTGCCTTTTGTTTCTTATTTTATAGGATACATTTTCCTGATTCCCTACTCTATGTCTTTGTAAATACTTTATCGGTTCCAAAACCTCTTCTACGTGTATAGGATTAGCATCATATGGCTGAGACTGAACTCCACAATAGGGGATTGGATATTATACGTTTTAATTTGGAGTTGCGTTTGATTCGAAGTCAACTGTATGTTCCACAAGGAGACGATTTGGCTCATGAACGCAATTATGGCGTCGTCTACTGAAAATATATGTTATCGAAAGCTTGTTGAGGATCAAGACTATGTTGAAGACTAAATAAGTGATCATGTACTTCTTGGACGGACGTGCAAGTGTCCAAAATGCGACAGGGAAGTGACATTCAACCGATTTTATTTGTTTCAGTGTAACACACGACCTCACTATTAAGGTGAGGTCCTTCTGCTGCTAGGGGGTCCGGGGGGGATTTTGCAACTTAATACGACTAAACAACTTCATATGACGGGGATTCCGGGTTAGAAGGTTAGGTATGTTTGGTAGGTCAATTTCTGTTAGATTTTGTGCATTGTCGTATCCATTTTTTTATTTAGTAACATGCAAATAACATCTCTAGAAATTTTGGTGCAATTCCATAAGTTTCTTCTGTAATAACTGTTTCATCTATCCATCTTTTTTATGTCGAGATTATAAGCGAGTATATGTGAGGTATACTTGTATGGTGTTGTTGTTTACTATACAATACTCAATTATACAACTTCTCTGTGCTATTATTTATTCCTTTATCTATCTCTTCATTTTCGTGCTTGTTGATTAACTTCTTTTTAAAATTACTAAAAATATTATTACATTATTTTCTTTTTCCTCTTTGTGTCTATCATTGTTTCATGTACTGTCTCCTTTTTGAGGTCATTCTCTGCTGTACACGGAAATAAAGGCCAGATATTTTCTCCCTCTATCCCACACCTGATCACCACCACACTATCCCCCCACACTTGATCACCACCACACTACCACACTATCCCCCACACTGATCACCACCCCCCCACACTTGATCACCACCACACTATCCCCTCACGCTTGATCACCACTACACTATCCCTCTCACCTTGATCACCACCACACTATCTCCCCACACTTGATCACCACCACACTATCCCCCACACTTGATCACCACCACACTATCCCCTCCACACTTGATCAACACCACACTATCCCCCCACACTTGATCACCACCACACTATCTCCCCCACACTTGATCACCACCACACTATCCCCCACACTTGATCACCACCGCACAATAATTCATCTCTTACTGTTACTACTAAGAAAGCGGCAGCAGCAGGAGCAGCATTGTCAATCAAAGTTACACTTCTTATTGCCCCCTGCTAAGGGTTACCGCTCTATGAATAACGGAGTCAGGTGAACTAAGTAATCAATGAATAACAAATATAAATCAACAAAACAAATAACACGAAGCACACATGCTCACAGTCACCCTACATTTGCACCAGACGTATATTCATTCACGGAGAGTTATCGTTCCCGACACACATACATATATCCAGTTATTATCTTTCCCTGTTGGAGTATCATAATAAATTCAGCTGATAAATTACAACGCTCTGGAGGTTACACACGACACACGTTTCGTCAAGACCAGAAGAAAGCTATTAAAAGTAAATGTAACGATCATTGGTAGACGTCATGAGAGCGCTACCTCCAATATTATGTTGTAATACAAGTGACCAACGTAACACCAGGGGTAAGGTAAGGGAGCACAGGTCCACTAAGAGCACGAGAGAAGCTTCATATGTGTAAAGTTTGGTAAATGGCCAGAGAAAGGTGATGTAATATACACTGACAGGCTTTGATGTCAAATTCTGTGATGCGGGGAACAAACTTCTTTAAGCCGAGAGGGAAACGTAAATAAAACGGAAAATTTAATACATGATGTAATATAATCAATAAATTATATTATATAATATGAGAAACATAACAATGTCAATATTGTAGTACTTACTTATAACTTAACACCGGCTACACGAGAACAATATCTGGGGTCTACCAGGTGAGTGTGAGCTGGTGACCCCACAGCCTGGTGACCCCATTCATACCCAAGTGTCTGGCATTAACCGTGTTCTTCAGTGTCTTCAAGTACCAGATCAATAAGCGTTTCTAGAGAATATGTCTTGATACAATGTTAAGATACTTGAAGGAAGAAATGCAAATACGGTCTCCACAAATATCTGTCTAAATGTTTCCATGTATTCCTAAAAGACTTACGCTGTTAGTCACTATAGTTCTTGAAATGTTATAGAAATCAATGTATTTTTTCTGTAAATTAAGCATTAACCCTTTACTAATATTCCACTATAAACAGAATTACAAATATCTACGCGACTCTTCTCAGAAAAGGTTACGTTACAAACCACGTTACTCGAACATTTCTAAAAATTTACCCAAATGTTTTGAAGAAAATGGTATATTTATGTCCATTACGTTTGTTTACATTCTTCACCTCTCTCTCCAGTTGCTGTTTACATGGGTATCGCTCGAGAAACACAAACTTTCCAATTTTCTTGAAAGTTTGTCCAGTTATGATTGGAATTTGTTTACCATGTTATTAACCCCATGCGTACGATGGCAGCCCATTGATTGCGATGACTTAACCCTTTTAATATGATGATTTAACCCCTTGAGTATGATGAATTTGTTATCTTCCATTTACCTGTTGCAATCACTGATGAAGATCCTTAGGTACTCTGGAAGTAACAAAATAAATATTCATGGGTTAAGTTTTCAAACCATTTATTAAGAAAATAAACTATTGCACAATAATTAGGATATCACCGTAATTAACGCTATATGCTGTGAGCGTTAATAAAAGATGAAGCTTGTGTGTAACGAGCTTCTTGAACACACATTTGACGTGTGCGAGAGAGAGGAACTGACTGGGTAGAAACCGGGTACTCAAATGCTGACCCAGGCATTCAAGGTGCAGGGCGATCAGTGGAAAAACTCTCTCACGTGTACAGTCCCCTTCACTAGTGCGTTTACAGAGGCTTATCATATAAACATTACACAAATCATTATCATTGAGGTATTTGCTTTAATATTGTTCTCACTTGATTCCATAGAATGTTTACTATTGCTTGTTTCCTTCTGTAAACAAACACAGGGCTGTCACACTGCACAAAGCATGATGAGCCCTGTACAATTATGATTAGTCACTGCTCATAGTCTAGTTACCGTGGGTGGTGTAATTATTTAAACATAATACAACTTAACCTCTTGAGTACTATGAATTAACCCTCTTGAAGACGATGACAACCCCTCAAGTACGATGATTTAACCCCTTGAGTAAGAAGATATATTTTCAAGTACGAAGACTTAACCCCTTTGAGTACAATGATATATCCCCCTTGAGTATGATGACTTAACTCCCTCAAGTACGATGACTTAACCTCCTGTGTACGATGACTTAATCCTCTAAGTACAATAGCTACGTCCATTGGGTACGAAGTCTTGAACTAATCATTGCGAATTACTGTTTCCTCGACCAAGACCCCATCGTACTCATGGGTGAACTCATCGTACTCAGAGGGTTAAGCCTCCATACTCAGGGGTTAGTACACCGTATTCAGGGCCTTAACTCATCGTACTCAGAGGGTTAAGTCTCCATACTCAGGGGTTAAGACATCGTATTCAGGGCCTTAACTCATCGTACTCAGAGGGTTGAATCATTGTGCTCAATGGGGCATCATCATAGTTTATGGGTCAGATTATCATTCACTATGTAGTGGTATGAGGCCTTATGTAGTGGTATGAGGCATTGCGTAGTGATATAAGGTATTGTGTAGAGGTATGAACCGCAAGCAAAAGAAAAAAGGAAAGTGCCATCTATATAGATTTAGGTAGTGTTATATTCCAGCGGTAAAACAATGATTTTAGTTGTTGAGACGAATGTATTATTTGGCTAATTACCCTAAACTACAGCTGAGGTTACGATATTAATGTTAAAGGAACCAATGTAGTGCCATTATGAGAGTGCCAACCCGGGCTATTAATCATCTGGAAAAACTCTCATTCCGTGTGCCATGCGCGCCGTGGGGTGTGAATACCTGTTGATTACTTTACCCACCTGCTTGTCAGTCCACCTTCAGCATCAGGTGTCGCAGGACGCTCGCTTGAATCAGGAAGCTCACTGTGGTCCACTTGGTCTAGTTTATCTCTCATACTTAGGAATTCGAGCGACTTTCAAAGCTTCGGTCTCCAAATACCTGGGGTGAGGCACAAGAGACCACCAGAGACAGAAATTGATACATGAAGTTCAATTTCATCATTTCGGTTTCCATTGTTCAGCTCGAATGACTTTCAGAACTTGTAGGTACTCCTTAAAAGTCTGCTGCTTTGTTTCGCTCTCCATAAATGAGGTCCAGGATACTTTCAGACGCTTAAGTACTGACTGAGGAGGTTCTGATACATAGTTCTCGTCTTCAGCATCTGCCAAAGGATCATTCAAAGCGGCAAGGCGTTCTCTGCGCTGCTGCATCTTCGTTTCGATCTTCAACAGTGAAGTCAAATAGATCTTTTAAACCCACTCTCCACTCACTTGACATCCTGCTACTTCATTCTGAACCTCTGTACATCGTCACAGGTGCCACCTAACCCGGAAGACCTCCCTGATGTAAAACTCAACCTGCGAGACCAGTTAGGCTTTGAAGTCACTTAAAAATCGCTAAACTTCGTCGTGGCTCAAATGGGAGAATATGTAAATTGCTAAATGACTTGTGGCTTCAGTTCGATCTCTACCAAGGCACTGAGAACCCCCCGAGAGAGTCCTTGAGAACCTGTAGCTTCATCAGGACCTTTGCTATGGCGCCACAGAGGACTCCAACGCCCAAAGGACTCCTGTACCCGAGCCTCGTACTGTTGCTGATGATGGTGTACTCAACGTCCTGTAAGTCTCAGCTTAATTTTTCTAATGTTGCCGCCATTGTTGGTGAACTTAGCCTTAGGTAAGTCTCATGTATACTGCTGTTGCCACACACACACACACACACACACACACACACACACACGCACACACACACACACACACAATGTTAATGTCTCCATCCTCAAGTAATAATAAACGCCCATAAGACAAACACCGTTATTGTAGACATTAGTTTATGTCATGTTTCACCATCAGTAGCAAAAGGTCCATCTCCTCCTAAGTCCCCCATCTTTGTCAATACCGATGTGTTAATGACCACTAACGTAAATAATAATAGTTTGTTGTTCTTATGGAAAAATGATGATGATGATGATAATGATGATGATGATGATGATGATGATGATGATGATACAGTGGAAAAACTAATTAAGGATAATTATACCTAAATTATACATACAGATACAAACACGGGAGTCTTAATTCGTCATATCACCTGATAATAGTTATGTCACCTGATGTATAGTGTGAAGACAGGTGAAAAAATTATTATCTAACATTTTTTTTCTAACAGGAGTCTTATTTCTTCCTCTGTTAATTTCAACGGTAGTTTCGCTCTTGCTCTGTTAGTTTCAACGGAGCATCATCATCACTGTTAGTTTCAATGGGGTTTCATTTTTGTTCTGGTAGAATCAACGGGAGTTTTATTTTCCTTTGTTTATGAACACAATAAAGACTCTAAAAAACATCTCCATCGGGAATACATTGAAGGAAATTCTATTTGACCAACCAGAGAGCCGCAGTGTTCTCAATGGTTCCTTTGTGAAGTATTCCTCATTACTCACCAAGAACTTCAATATAAAGGTAAAATGGCCTCAAAACTACACTGAGACTCTTTTATCAACAAATTGAAATATTTACAGTTCAAGGTGACACACACACACACACACACACACACACACACACACACACACACGACTACTATTTCTACTTTGCTGTCACTCAGAATCGAGTATGACGATCATCCAGCTATGATAAAATTCTATGAGGTATTACGGATGTCACCTTCGTTGGTGAGTTCTGAGGTGACTAAAGAGGCCGATACGGGACCGGCAGGGTCATCTACAGATGCTGCATGTGTGGAGGCTATATCTAGTGCGGGAGGGGCGGTGGCAGCGTCTTTCCAGCATTGGTGCTTGTCTGCCTCGGTATACAGTCGGGCTAACTCGAAAGTATTGACACCTTCTCGTGTGGTGCTCCTCCAAGCGTTACGATGTTGAGTGATCGTCTCCCAGGTGAGGGGGTCGGTTTGCCACGTTTTCAGGTTTGTCTTAAGACTATCCTTATAACTTTTCAATTGCCTGCCAACGTCGTGAGGCGCTCGTTGATCTCAACAGGCATTTCATTTAGCCTATGTAAGATGAATTGGCGGATGGCAAAGCCAACTCCATATATGCTGTTCTCTCTGCAGCAGGGTTACCCTTCCAGAAGAAGATATAGCCAGACTCCCGTTCTGTGAGTTGACCCTCGTCTGGGAGCCGGGACTCACTAATGGCTGCGATGTCGATGTTATACCTAGTCAGCTCTTTTGCCACAACGGCGGTTCTTCTTTCAGGACGCTCATTTGTGCCAGTATCCAGAAGGGTCCTGACATTTCATGCATCGAGCATAAGAGGTTGTATAGTTTGTTTTTGTTTTGATCTGTGATTATGATTGTGTTTTCGATCGAGCATAAGAGGTTGTATAGTTTGTTTTTGTTTTGATCTGTGATTATGATTGTGTTTTCGACCGCATACGGACGACTTTAATGGGTGCGGTTGCCCAGACAGGTTGGTTCTTTAGGCAGGATATGTTTAGGGCACACACACACACACACGAGGAAAGTAATAAGGCAATAAAAGTATAACAGAGAAAAGAGGGACGAGGCTCCAAATTTTCCAATGCAGATTATATATTTATGTAAATTTTGTTTTACACAATACTCAGTTTCTAGTAAACATGAGAAACTGTCCTGTTTCTCTTTCTCATCATTCATTATTCATTTCTCTAGCGTATCGACACCTTATAACAATATCTTTTGCATGCGCTTCGACCACCAAAAACTCTCGATACTTGGATTCGAATAACTCAATCAGCTGGTTCATTCAAGCCTTTAACGGGTTAATTTATATACATCATAAATCCGTGAGCAGACCAAATTATATGTGTCACTCAAATTGCACCAAATAAGAATAATTTTTTAATTTTATATGATCAACGTCTGCCAGTCGTTGTGTTACGTTGGCCAACCTTGATCATTCAGTTTCCAGTGTATTTGCTCGAAACAAGGCTAACAAAGTACAGACAAAATATACACACCGCCTTACAGATCATCATGGGAATTGAGTGAATTTTTGAACAGGATTAATCATTTATTTTTTTTATTCAAGAACCGTAAATGATTGTACTTTATTCCTACTGATCATTGGGTTCCTGTTTATTGTACGTCCTAAAATATAACAATCATTTAGGATTCTCGAAAAAAAAAAGACCCTGTATTACATCAATGACCTCATTTGTTGGGGACCTCACACACTTACGAGGTTAATAGGCTAATATTTGACAATAGCTGTAGTTTTCCTGTACACAATTCACTGGACAAGTTTGGCAATTTGACCCATTTAGCTGTGACTAGTTGATTTAGAACAAGTAGACGCTGTTGTACATCATTATAAACTGTTACATTAAAAACATATCAGATCATTCTAACACAAAAATTAATCTGATTATACATGTTGAAATTCCTACCCTCCCTGCCTTACCTACAGTACATGACCCTCAGGTACAAAAGGTGTCACACATTGGTCAAAGTGTCCATAAACGAATTTTGTTCACAACGCTTTTCAAACATTCTGTGAGACCGACATGATATTGAAAAAATACTTAATATATTATACTTTAAGCAGTTTTAAGATGCAACTCTGTCTGTCTATCTGCCTGTCTGTTTACCCATCCATCCCTCTATCCGTATAGAATAGATAAACACGTATCACATGTTATTCACATTTAAGTATCTAATTGATTGTTATTTCTAGGAACACTTTTTTCACATAAGTTTTATTTATATTTAGCCTTTGTAGTGTTATCTAAATGAGTACTTAAGGGAGTTATTTTGTGATTATCTTGGTGGTTACATTGACTTAATGTTATCTTAGCGAAGGGGTACTCAATCCCATCCGGACCTTGGCCATCTAGAAAATTTGTGTGACTGCGAGCGACCTTCACAAACACTGTAGTAATTGGGGAACAGGAACGAAACTGGAGGGAAATAATGAGGAAGAGTAATAAAGAGTAGAAAGTGCATAACGTAAGAGGACACGCGCACACACACACACACACACACACACACACACACACACACACACACACTACTCAATACAGTGCCGATCATAAAGAATACTCGAGACCAGATTATTGCGTGTCCCTCACAATAACTCCTTTATATAACGACACGTAATGAATACTGTTTACGAGAGTTTCGACATGCTTGGTGGGCAGTACGGTCAGCAGGAAGGCTATATTTAGAAGGATGAAGCGTGGCGAAATTTACCTCCAGCAATATTATAAGATATTGGCGAGTAGGGTTAAAACCGAGATAAGGAAAGCCAAGAGGAAAAATGAGGTAAGGATAGCAAGGGAGGCAAAGACAAACCCCAAAGGATTCTACCAAATGCATCAAACTAAAACACGAGAAAAGATTGGACCAATACAGTCAGATACCGGCGAGCTCACTGATAACGACGGAGAAATGAGCAATAATTTGAATAAATATTTTTCAACAGTTTTCACCACCGAAAATTTAAACATGATACCCGAGGCACCGACTCTATTCAGAGATAGTGGAGAAAACAAATTAAGTGAGATAATAGTGACTAGTAACGATGTTAGTAAGCAAATAGACAAACTAAAGCCTAATAAGTCACCTGGTCCCGATGAGATATTTGCCCTTAGCAAAGTTGTTTAACATGTCCTTAAAAACAGGTGTAGTACCAGAATCCTGGAGGATAGCGAATGTAATACCGATTTTCAAGAAGGGGGATAGATCACTATCCTCTAACTACCGCCCAATCAGTCTAACATCAATAGTAGGCAAATTACTGGAAGCAATCATTTTAAACTCTATTCGAAACCACCTGGAGAAGCACCGATTGATCAATGATTCCCAGCATGGCTTCACAAGCGGACGTTCTTGTCTAACTAATCTATTAACATTCTTTTCATCAGTTTTCGAATCGGTGGAAGAGGGGCACAATTATGATGT